TTTAACGGAAAGAACGCGCAAAAATTTTGAACGGTTTCATTTAATTCCACTACTTTTTTTAAAAGAATTAATGTTTTTAATATATTTGTATATATATAAATATATTTGTATTTTGTTATTACAAATTATGTCCCTTAAGTACCTAAACGTCATGTTTATAAGTTAATTATCGCTCAGTAATTTTGAATCATTTACTCAAAGTATGAAACTACAGAAATGACTAAGTTCATTAAATATAATCAATTAAAAATAATACATCTAACTAATTATTTTTATTATATTGGGTAATGAGAGGGTTGCTAAATCTCACCGGGTTATTAGAAGGTATTTGGATTCTGGGTCTTGCTTTCACCGGGGGAGGACCTAACTGGATCGACTGATGCCCGAAGGCAAACGCAGATTCTTACCGACCGGTCTGGAGCTGTTTTGGTATGAAAATATTGATTTATTAAATATTTATATATACATATATATAAAATTGTATTATTGACAGTTCAAATTGCACTACAGGCGCATTCCCTACACGGGCATCAGTTATAAATTAAGAGTTACAAGAAATTTACAGTCATTTGTAAGCTGTATCATAAAAAAGATACAAAGGCTATTAAAAGCAAAGAACAAATCCGATAATTGGTAAAGCTTTCTCAAAGTGTGCGGTTCGTTTTGTAGGAGCGAGGTAGAAAGCGATATGTGATAGGCAAATCATCTTTTTGAAAAATGTCTTTTGCTAGAGTATCGGATGTTTTATTTCCCAGCAGTCATGAGCTTTCACCCATCCAAACATGGCACTTTTCCCTTTACAAATAATCTTCTTGATTAGGCTTCTAATATTCTCCGCAGGCTCCGTGTGGCAATCGTGGTTGATAACGAAGCACATAGTAATTCTACAGACAGAGTTTATTACAAAATATGGATATTTTCTTCTTGGTCGATCATACCTTCAACACTTCTACTTGCTCCGCTTGAATGAGCATCTGTTGTTAGTTATAAAGTGGTTTATACGGATTACAAAACAGCGAAGTACCGAATACATACGTTGCAAATTCAGTCAACCTTATCTTTACTTGTGACTTTTGTGTCTTCAAATTGTTAGTTTTGTCAAAATGGAATTTGTTATTTGGTAGGTCTGCACCTTTATTTATTCATGTTGTTGTTATCCTTTGCTGTTGTTGTTTTCGCACCGAAATTTTTTATTCTTAGTACTTATTGTATCGATCAATCTTTATTGCTCTCGTTACTTGTTACGTATTTATTGCTTTATGAATTTCTAGTCATGCTAAAAAATGGAATTTGATATTTCATAGGTCCGTACTCTTGCTGAATGTTCCAAAACAAAGCAAAAAAACATATCTTTACTGTTTACTCCCATACCTTCATAACCCGGTTAGATTTTGCAATGGAAAGAAGAGTAGAAGATTCAGAGCCCTAAAGTTGAGTTATTACGGTAGGATCAGGCCATAGTTCGTAATCGAAAAGCGCTCGAAATATCTAGTGTTATGTACGGTAAACGTCTAATTAAGTACTAAATCTTTTTGAATAAATCGTAAGCTAGTAGTATTATAGCAAGTTAGGAATATTACAAACCGGGTCGTGTGAGATAGTGCGATAATCTTGCAACGCGGATGGCCATCAATGATTGATCTCAATTCATCTTAACTCTGTTATATTCCCGTTTCAGACCATGTGCCCAATTCGTTTCTGCATAAAAAGCACAGGAAGGAAAGCTCCAGTATTCAGTACGAAGTGCTTGATGGCTTTAACTTTGCAATTCTTGTCGAGCTATTTCTTTACTATTGACTTCCTTGTATTTGATTGATGCGATGATATTCCATGAGAGTTTTCGACCAAAATTTCTAGGGATCTATGTTATTTTATCTACTAATTTCTGACAATGCCTTCAAAAGAAATGTAAATTCTTGTTCATCTTGACCCTGACATTATTTAGAATTGATGTTAATTTTGTTAGTTACTAAAATTCTATCTCTAGAAGAAAGAATTTAATTATCAATGATTTCTTGATCTTCAATGATGAAATTTTTTTTTTGGCTTCCATCAACTCGACGTTCTCATCTGTAAATGCAATTCGTTAGGAGTGTTCTTGGCAATTAATTTTTAATATCGAGTCATGACCATACTCCAAAAACCGGGAAAGCACCCACCCCTGAACAATCCTGAGTTTAGAATTTTTTAAAATTTTAAAATTGGTACACGTTTTTGGGACATTTAAATTATTTTAACATATTTACATATATTACAAATATACATAATTACATTCACTAATTTCGTGGTCCGCTTGACCAATTAACATATTACAATTAATTAAGGTTTTTAGTTGAGATAAAAAAATCAATGGCACGAGCGGGATTCGAACCCACGATCTTCGGCTAGATACGCCGCTGCTCTACCACTTGAGCTATCGTGACCTCGATCCACTCGGACATCAACTTCCTATCTCAACCCCACCTTATGAGTTTTCCATCCTTTTTGCCATTTTTCAAATGTCGTGTAATCGGATTGGATTCTCGGCGACAAATGAAATGGCCACAGAGAACTTTAGTGAAGTATACTTCATTTTAATTCATTAAATTCACTAATTTCGTGGTCCGCTTGACCAATTAATATATTACAATTAATTAAGGTTTTTAGTTGAGATAAAAAAGGCAAAAAAGGAGGGAAAATTCAAAAGGTGCGGAAGTTGGTGTCCGAGTGGATCGAGGTCACGATAGCTCAAGTGGTAGAGCAGCGGCGTATCTAGCCGAAGATCGTGGGTTCGAATCCCGCTCGTGCCATTGACTTTTTTATCTCAACTAAAATCCTTAATTAATTGTAATACATAATTACGTAATATTCCTGGCTATCAGGCATCATCGAAGGCATGTAAACTTCGACGTCCATGGAAATTTCAAGAACTTTCGCCTCATTTTGAAGTTATTAGTTAATTGATATTTTACATTTTAGTGGTTTCTTGAGCAGCAGAATAATCCAAATTTAAATATAAAAAACATTTAAAATTCCTCACGTGTTACCCGAACGTGAAAAACATTTCAACTTTTTCCATAAATACTGTTTTATAAATAAGTGACTTTTATGGTAAGCTTAAAAGAACAATAAAAATGACATGTTGATAACAATAATCCCGGTGATTAGCTCCGGTAGTAGGTAGCCTTAGCTGCCTCCTCCACTGTATCGTTATCATCCGGATGGCCAAGACAGCAACCAACATTTTTGTCAGGCGGTCTAGTCCAAAATATCTCCAACAAAATAACGACCAAGGGGATCAACGAAGAACCTGTATTGTACAGCCGTTAACCAGCTCCGGGAGTCGGGACAGGTACGGTAGGCAGGGGGTTTTCTCTAATCACCCAAGAACAGGCCAAATCTCGATTGAATAAAAAATTACATTGCACTGGAGACCTTCGTTGGCATACCAGACCTTGCAGTTCCTTGGACCTCAGATGAACCAAACGGCAACAAATTACCCGCTGTTTATCTTTCATAAGGCCCGATAATGGCAGGTATTCCAGAGCACGCATTTAGGTCCAGACCTAAACCGCTAATTCCCCCTTATGCCTTGCAAAACAACTGCCACTCACACACAATTATCCTCACGAGGCGAGGTGGAAGAACAGAAGAAACGTTTATTTACTCGGAATACACTATTTGACCCGAGATAGGTCAATGGTCGTCATAAAATTATGTTTCCGGCACAAAAAAAAACTAAAATGAAGTACTGTAAACTTCATGAGTTTTTTGATATGTTGTTACGTGTATAGAAGAAGAAAAATTGACAAGGAATAACAATAAATTGATTTTTTTAATTAAATAGCAATACTCGAGGGTATTCATTTTTTCATGAAACTATAGTTTCATAACAATTGTCTATAAAAGAGACCAGGAATGTTCAATGCACATAAGTTTAGCAGATCAGTATACTAAAATAATTCTAAAGTGCAGCTGATACTAAGTAGATTATTAAATTAAACTTGAAATATTCTATGCGAAACTAACATATTTTCGATTTCAATCTGTTTAAAACAACATTACATAAACATTAATTCACTACTTTCGTGGTCCGCTTGACCAATTAATTAAGGTTTTTAGTTGAGATGAAAAAAAGTCAATGGCACGAGAGGGATTCGAACCCACGACCTTCGACTTGATACGCCGCTACTCTACCACTTGAGCTATCGTGGTACCTCGATCCACTCGGACACTAACTTCCCATCTCAACCCCACCTTTTGAATTTTCCCTCCTTTTTGCCATTTTTCAAATGTCGTGTAATTTGTTACATAAACAAAAGAACGTCTAATTTTGTTGTTACAACTGAAAAAATTGTCTATACTCCCCCAGCGTCTGGAAAATTAATCTTGCTCCACATCCGTGAGTATATGCTGACCAGTACTACGAACAATGCGTTCATTCCCACCCAAAAGTAATATCTTATTTTTTTACATAAAGTAATAAAAATTATTCTGTATGTTGTAAAATATTTTGTTTGCTTTAAGCGACTATGTTTACATATGTAATTATTATAATTAAATCTTTAACAAGATAAGTGTGGAGGTGTAAAGAATGCGCCGTTTTTCAAAGGAACTATCTGTTGCAATTACGGACAAGGACAAATTCCTAATGACTAACGCCAAACGTATTTTGGTTCAGTCCGGTGATGTCGCAATAAACACAAAAACGCAATGGTGAAACAAGAATAAAATTTACCGGAAAATACACTTCCAGTTTTTTAAATGAGTCTTCACCAAAGAGATTTAAAAAAAGGAAGAAATAAGAAAAGTAAATGTTATTTTTGTTACAACGCTTGTTATATTGCCATGCATAAATAAAGCAGCAACTCCTGTATTATTTATTTATTTGACTTAAAGCGGTTCATTAATTGATTGTCTATTCAAAAACAAAAAAATTGCATTTCCATATCCGTGCAATATAAACTTTAGTCCTGTTAGTGTTGGTTATTCCGAACCAAGATTCGTAAAACACTACTTACGGTTTTCATAACTTAGTCGTTGAGGACGATTGTCGTACCTGGAAATAAAAAATGTGTTATGTGTGGATAAATTGACATAGATGACTATCTTATTTCATTTCCAGTTTTTAAAACCGTTATGCCTACATTCATTCAAAAGCCAAGAGAGAGGTTTGAGTAAATATTCGTTTTCTTCGCAAATCCACGATGGTAAATTGTTCAAAGCCTTTTGAGTCGCATTTGTTCGGAAAAATTTAGCACCCGGCGAGTTTAGATGAGGTTTCAGTTTTTTTTTTTTTTTTTTCCTTATGATCTTTGCATATTAGCCATGACGAATTCTTATAGATGTTGTTCAAATTGGGGGTTATCGGGAAAAAAGGGCCAGAGGCGACGGTGGGAATCGAACCCACGACCGCGGCGTGAGAGGCTACCGCGGTCCCCAGGTTTCAGATGTTAAATGATGTATCATTCCAAATGAAAAAGCGCAATCGATCTTATGTTTATTTAAACCCCATAGCATAGGGGCGTCGGTGGCCTCAACGGTTTAGCGTTGACACGGCGCTCATCACTGTAAAATAAAGGTCCTGGGTTCGAATCCAGCGGCCCTGCATTCGAACCCGCTTTTTTTCATAAACACCGGCACCCCGAGGGTTGATATAACCTCTGCTGTTGCGACCCCTCGTCAAAAAAAAAGTTTTTTATATTTATATGCTTATTTTCTATATAAAGACCGCCAATGCTTAAGTATGAGTTATTCAACAATAATACTTTAAAATGAGACAATTAATATAAATGGTTTAATTTTCTTAATCAATATTTATTTAGAAATCGTGAGATGCGGTCTGGTGTGATGTACGTTTCAGAAAAACATTTTCTTTATCGTGCCAACGTTTCGATCTTTATTTAGATCATCTTCAGAGCTCAATAAAGATCGAAACGTTGGCACGATAAAGAAAATGTTTTTCTGAAACCTACATCACACCAGACCGCATCTCACGATTTCTAAATAAATATCAATATTAATGTTGATAATTCTTTTTTTCTCAAATACGAAATCGCCCTTAATTGAGCTCAGATATATTAAAATATTAAAAGCTCGTCTCAAAAACCATAACTCCAACGAAAAGGGGGACGGCTAAGGTGGCAACGACGTCGCAACCTCCGGCCCTCTGAAGCTAAAAATGCAATAAAAAACACAATTAAAAGATACTGACTGGGTCGGTGAGGCGGATCGGAGAGAAGCTCTCTCCCATCAAGAGGTTTATGTCAACACAGAAGACAAATTCGTTTATATTTTAATACTTTGTTTTAAACAGATTTTTTCAAAAAATACCTAGCAGGGATCAGGAGATTTTTCACAATAAAAAGGAACAAAATAGTAGAATACCTGTCGTAAAAATGGGTTGACCTTTTTTTTTGTCAGAAATGCTAGTCCCACAAGAAATGCGCATCTCTATCACCCCCGTCATCCCTTTACAAAGCCTATCATCGGATTAGCTAATGAAATATGACAATCGGCAGGTGGGAATGGCTTTATACTCCAGCCACCGTATATCTTTTCCAACGGATTTTACGCGAAAAAAAATTAACCCCAGCTATCAATTCTATTGATCATTAAAGAACGATAATACAACAAAATACTTTGCAATACAGAATACTTAAATTTCTTGTTTACCGGTTTTAAAATTGTCAGTTTTGAAAATTGTTAACTGTTATTCTTTTAGAATCTGTCTGTAAATTTAACGACAAAATCTGGACTTGGATCGAGTTGATATATTGACCTTGATTCCGCCTACTCATTTATGTATTTAAAGTGCATAATAATATAATTTGCCGGCAGCTGTCCTTGATTTCCATTCTGTTATGACAATTGAGCTTTATCGCGTATAACAGGTGTTGCGGATGAACGGAGGGAAAAAAAGGACCGTAAATCAAAGAAAGGAAAACGGGAGTTGCAAAAAAATGCTGCCATGATTGATTTATCGACTCATTTCAAGAAGGATGAACTTTCGTACTTCGGCAGTCGGAGAATGACGGCGAAACATACCAGTCCTGAGGTCAACGGTGACTTTGCACATGTCAACGAAAGAGTATGGAATAAATAATATCGTTTACACTGACCTATTGGGAAACCGATTAAAATGGTAAGATCGTCGTTCCGAAAGAGAAAAACGACCTAATATTACATCACTTGGATTTGTACAATTGATTTAATTTAGGACCGTGACTTGTCCGGTTGGCTATGGTGCCCATTTACGGTCACCCCTCAGACTTCATTTCGAAAACATTAAAAAATAAATAAATAAAACTTGCAAACTAGGCCCATGACTGTATGTAACTCTTTATGTATATAACGGACTGTATGAAGTCCAGAGATACTTTATTAAACAATTGTTCTTCATGCCCAATAGTTGTCTTGATTATGTACTTCATCTCGAAACAGATTGCCTTTGTTCATTTTCACTGTTTCACTTCTGCATAATTTTACCCATTGAAATGTGCGAGAGCTTTCAGTGTCATTGGCAACTAGTTGCCAAAGTACAACAACGCCTATTTTTCATATTCCTTTTTCAAAAAGCGGTATATTAACGCCTTAAAAAGGTAAAATAACGTCAATTTAATTAAATTATTTACTACTTCAATAAGCTCAAGTTATGGATAAAAACGTACATTAAGCATTAAAATTCGTTTGAACTTCTGCTCGAAGTTTTGGCATAATTGGGGGTTTTCTCTGCCCGAAATTGCCTTGATCCCTGATCTCCATATATCCCAGGATTCCATGCAGGGTGTTAAATTTGAAATGGAAGAATTTAGAGAGTTTTGTTTGGCTGAGAGAGGTTTGAGTAAATATTCGTTTTCTTCGCAAATCCANTATCAACTCGGCGTCCCCTCGAAGAAATTTTACATTTAAACCGGCGTCCAGGGCAAAACAGCGTCCGTATATGAACGCTGATTCGCCGGGCCAGTGCTTTCAGCTTTTATATATATATGTAGCTGTTTATATATATGTCGGAGGTAGCCTGAGGTGCGCCAAGCGGCAGGCGGGTAGAATGAGTTGAGTTGAGATTTGGCCGTTAAAAAGGATAGTAATTTATCGTGCATATATATATATATACATACATATAGTAGTGAAGATTTATAGTAGTCTTATAGTTATACCACCACCTTCACCAAACCACCACTTATAAACGTAGTCCAGAGAGGAAAGTTGTTCTGCAGTTCTTTAACAAGCAATAAATTAAAACCCGGCCACCAAAATAGAAATTTAAAAAAAAGTATCATTATATAAATTATTGGAATGTTGTTTCTTAAAAGGTTAGTAATATGGTGGTCCTTCAGTACGAATATTCTCCACAAAATGAATGATGAATGAATGATATTTTATATAAGAATACATATCTTATAGCAAAGGAGTTGACCTTCATATACATTTATAAACAACACGATAATACCGTTACAAATGGTAATTGGAGCGTTCAGAAATTTGTTCAACCGACCGCGTTAATTGTTATTCCCATTTCGAAAATATTTATTATGGCGACGGTGGTTTTCTTTCTGTATTGCTCGTGGTGGATACAGTTCACGCAATTTTTTTTTCAATTAAGAGTTTTAACCCAAATATTCGATTCTTTTAGTAAATGACAGTATTCACAAGAGAATTTTTTAAAGATAAATTAAAACAACAATTCCTTAAAATATTTGCTACTATGTTCACCGCGTTGCAGGTGCGTATTTTAGCCCTTGCAATAGATTGATTTTGCATAATGTTAATGTGGGTGGTAAAACTAAAGTTTTTTTCACCAACATTATTTTATATAGTAGACAAAAGGTGCTATATACATCGAGATGAAAATAGGTAAAAATATTTTACAATAAAAATTAAATTATAAACTACAATTTTCTTATAACAACTACACTTGAATAAAAGTTGGTGCTATAGATAACCTAGAGGAATTCTTATTTTAGGGCAACCTACCTCAATTTCATTAAAGAATGAACTTAAAACAATACTTGGGGAATCAATAAAATTTAGTTAAATTAAATATGGAGTTGTGCCTAATTGTAATGTGACTTTGGTTGCTTGAAGAGCCATTGTTTAATTTGTTTAGAATTTTTCTTTAAAAATTAAACCACTTTTTGAAACCTTCAGGAATTGTATTAGTCCATTTAGGGCCTCCGTACAAGAAACTTTTTAGCTCTAGAGAGCTTGTCCTGCTGTTAGAGACTTGTCCGATTAAATTAATTAAAGTTCGTATGGGCAGATTTAACGGAAGCTCTCTAAAATAGCGTTCTACGTTATTCCTCTTAGAATAGCGTGCCTCTTACGGATGACGGTAAAGTAAACAAAGTAGTTTTTTGTTGGAAATAATTGTGTGGTGGTTAGTGACCGTTAATCGATAATTATTCAGAAATCGTGAGATGCGGTCTGGTGTGATGGCTTTCAGAAAAACATTTGCACTCTCAACACGACACGCAAGAATGGCACAATTACACAGAAGACAAACACTTTGAGCCCTGAAGATGATCTCAATAAAGATCGAAACGTTGGCACGATAAAGAAAATGTTTTTCTGAAACCTACATGACACCAGACCGCATCTCACGATTTCTGAATAAGTTGGAAATATTGTCCAAATTAAAAAAATATATATATAATATATATAATGTTTATATATATATATATATATATATATATAATATATAGATTACATGTTTATTTTATAGTTAATATTTTACAATTCTTACATGTTTTCATGAATTCGGACTCCTAACAATGTACGTACATTTGGTGTTCAACCATTAGCATATTTAGCTAAGCAGGAAGGAGAGTTAGCTAGAAATACATCAACTACATCCTTCCTTCTCTAAAGCAACAGCAATTGTGTAAAACCGACCCTTTGGCTGAATCACCTAAATACAATTTAAAAACTAAAATTCTAAGAGACTATGGTGATCTAACTGCACTGTAATATTTTAGTTTTTTCTAAGATTAATAAGCTAAGCGAAAAGCTATTTTTTAGGATTTTTTGACACTTTTCGTCCTCAATTTCATTTACACT